CCCGGTTGCTAACAGCCTGGTCCTGGTCATGCCGGCTCCTCTCACCTCGTGTACTCACAGCCCTGCTGCTCCTCTGGTTTTCCCTGTTCCCTTGCCAGGGAATTGTGTGTTTTCAGGCTCCTCTTTGGAGTGGCCAAATCCTATTTCTCCTCTTTATGCACACGCTGCCCCAGGAACACCATGCGCAGACTTCAGCCTGAAAGGAGCTCCTGGGCCTGGATGCGTGGTGGTACCTTAGCCCTGGGAGCCAGAGCCACGCTGCCCTTCCCAAAGGGAAGCTGCCTTAGGAAAGGGTCATTTTGTGTCCCTTAGGATGCTCCTTTGGTCTTTAAACCCAGCCAAATGCCAGCTGAGGCTTACGGAACCTGCTGGGGACCTGAAATGAATGGGGTTTGAGGTCTCTTCTTCCTCCATGGCGCTGAAAACCTTTTGCTGGGTTGGTGTAAGGGCAGTTGGCTTAGGAATATGATGGGGACTGGGTTGGGTGTTGTTCCAAGCCCTCCTTTAGCTTCAAGAAGCAGGGTCCTGCGAGGCACAAGCTGTCTCCTCCAGCCCTGCTCCGTGCTTTCAGCTCTCCTGGCTGGCAGCTGTGTCCTTCCAGAGGGAGCTGTGGGCAGGCTTGGCTCTCCACCTTGTCTCCTTGCTGATGACCTCCATCCCCAACCCACATGGGTGCGACCGTGCTTGGCTCAAGCCGTTTGGAGTTGCAGGATGGTCTTTGCCGTGGTTCAGCTGCTGCAGGCTACGGGCTTGGGGGCTGACAGTGGAGATGAGGCAGGAAGAAGCATTAAAGCTGGCCTAGTAATAGGGAGGCATTTAATGCTCTGTCCCAAAGCCAGGACAGGCCATGCTGCCTATGAGAATGGGGCTTTGGTGCTCGTAACTCTTCTCTTTGCCCCATAAAGGTGAACCTTCCTGCCTGTTTCCCAGACAGGTGGGAAGAACAAAGAAAGGGAGGGAGGCTAGGGGGTAAGGAAGAAGGTTTGGGGATCTGTAAGGTCTTTTCTGCCATCTCTGGCTCTTTCTCCACAGCATTTGCTGCAGGTCTGATGTGGTCAGCTGCTATTTCTGAGGCTGATGCTTTCAACTGGAGGACACCCAGAGCGTGTCATAGAAACCATGCAGGCGAGGCCCTCGGTGCCATGGGTTAGTGGTGGCCCTGGCAGTGCTGGGGAATGGTTGGACCTGATCTTAATGGTCTTTTCCAACCTGGTTGATTCCATGATTCTAGGTTGCTGCTTTTCCCTTCCAGCTCGAAGCAGTTGGGGGGAAAGGTTGTAGGGCTTGGGGCTGGTCTCTGCAGAGGGAAGCCCTTCTATTGGTGTTATGGTAAAGCTGTCAGTGACTCATCTGCTCTATTCAGTGCAGGTTGATGCAGCTTTCATCTGTGCAGCAGCTGAAATCCATGTATTACATATACAGGAGGCAGATGAACAGATGTATTTGCTAATTCACGGGGGGGGGGCAAGGAAAGGTGCTCCTCATGTCAGCCCTGTTGCACTGACGCTGGGACCCGCAGCAGCCAGCAGCATCCCGGGGGGCTGTGGGGTCTGGGTGATGCTGCTTTTGCAGGGGCTTTTATTCCCCTCTTTGCTCCTTGAATCACTGCTTCCATCACGTCTGCTCCCTCTTGCCAGCCCGGTTTAGCTGCTGGGAAGTGAACCCCCCTCCCCTGCAAGGCACAGGTTGTTACACAAAGAAATGGCACAGGGAGGGAATGAAACCTCTCAAGTGCTGCTCTCTGTGTAGGAGGCAGAGAGGGAGCTGCAAGGGGGAGACAGGCACCGAGGAGCAGAGAGAAGGGAGGCATAAATAGATGTGAGGAGCTCTAAAGAAGAAAGCAAAGGTAGAGACACAGGAGAGAGAGCAACTTTGTGTGATGGAATGAGGGGAGAGGGGGAGACCAAAGGGCTGTGGAGAAAACCCTCGCATCTGCATGTGCAGGCTGAGCTTTTGGAACTGAGGAGAGCATGTGTCTGCAGGCTGTGGGACACAGAAGGGCTTAAAGAGGAGCACAAGCCCTTGAAAGCACCGGGCTGGAGAGGGAAAGGAGCGGGGGTGATACCCAAGGTGGGGGGGGGTCTGCTTGGGAGGAGGGTAATGGCATACAGAAGGGGGTTAAGTGCTGTGATGGGAGAGGATGTTCTGCATAGAGGAGCTCGGGTCAGGGCAGAAGTAGCAGAAAGGGAGCCTGAGCTTCTCAGACGCAGCATCTCAACCGAGCCAAAGGGTCCAGAGGGATGCTGGGCAGTTCTGCACCGAGGTCCAGACATAGGAAACCACGTCAGAAAGGCCTTTCATGGGGATGCTTAAGACCTGCTGATCTTGATTTCTTGCCTCGCTTTGATTTCCTCCATCTTTTAAAACCTTTCCTAACCTGGGTGTGGAGCTTCCATGGCTTTTAGTGGAAACCCAGCTGGAAATGGAGGCGTTCTCTACCGAGCTCTGCGCAGCAGGGCAGGGCTGTGGGACACGGCTCAGAGCAAAACCAGCTTTCCTGCTTGCAGAGCTGATCAGTGAGGGCTGTGGATTAACTGGGAGGTTCTCAGCCCATGCAGAGCCCCCATTTCTCAGCCCAGGGGCCGGTTTCCCCTCTCCGTGCTTTACCCATCACCTCCATAGGCTGCCCGTGGCTTTCCTAGGGGACGGAGCAGGCGTTTAATGCTTGGCTTATATAGTAGAACCACAGAAAGGGTGCAGAGTGTGCGAGTGGCCCAAGTGATTGCTGTCAAAGTGACTAAGCAGGGGATGTAATATTCATGACATGATGGATGTGACTCTCCCTGCTGTAACCTCTGAGCCCGCTTCAGGCTTGGGCTCCACTCGCTGTTCCTTCGTGTCATCCTTGTACCAGCTGTAAAATGAGGATGGATTGCTCCCCACATGAAGGGCAGAGCCTTGCAGGTGACTGCTGTGGATCTGCATAGGGTTTCTGCTGAGCAGAGCTCGATGGCTGCTTTCTGGAGGCAGTAGGCAGGACGAGGGGGTACCCACAGGGGTATTGCAACAGGAGCAAGGAGAAGCCAATAGTCCCACATGAGACCAGGTCTGTGGGTTTGTCTGCCAAGCCCCAGAGAAGCTTGGTGAGCAGCTGGGCTTGTGTTTGTGGGGTTACAGGATGCCCAGGTGTATGATGCCTCTTCAGTGAAGCACGAGGGGAGAAGGGTGGTGCTTTGGGTTACCAAAGAGGTGTAACGTCACAGGCTCAGGAATGTGAGCGTGGTTGGGCTGCAGTCAAAGAGCCTGTGCTCTTCTTTAACACACGAGGTGGGTTTGGAGCATGTAGAGCTGCTAGGGAGATCTGCGTGCTGTTGTTTTCGCCATGGGAAGGGCATGGACTTGGACTGAGTTACAAATCTAAGGGAAGAGTAGCTACTATCCTGCTTAACCCTGGCTGAAATAACCCCAGGGCAGGTTATCTGCCTCTCACCTGTCCATGTGCTGCCTCAAAGCTGGGCAGCTTGGATCATCCAGTGCCTTCTGGAGGCTTCAGGCTCCATCTCGGCAGGTATTACCCGGCTAGAAGTCATCCTCCATGGGAGGTGTGTAAGGTAGCGCTGTGAAAAGCCTCCTGCAGGTGCCTGTCCCCATTCCGTGGTAGAGGAAGAGCTGAGACTGCACTCCCAGGTAACTGCCATCCTTTTTGGTGTATGATGTACCAGCCTATGGTCACCAGGTGATGGGCTGCCACGATACCAGTGCTGCAGCTCCCTCAGTCAACTCCAGTTGAGAAGCTGGTGCCCATCAAACAATGGCTTACGAGGGAGAGCAAGGGGGGTGTGTGTGTGTTTCTGTCTTACACCAAGCTTTGCCCTGGCATTTCTGGGGGTAGGTTTCCTCCAGGCCAGTGTTTCTATGGAGATGGAGGGTGGAACACCACCGTGTCTGCCTGTTATCCAGAGGAGTCAGCAGCGCCGACTGGTGCTGCAACCCTGGGACCCTCTTGGCTGTCATTAAAGCAGTGATGCAGTGAACAAGCTCCTGTTGCACTGAGCAGGCAGGAGGTGATGAAGCAGGCTCGGACCCCCACGGCTGCCTCCTCTTTGCTCCTAACTGCCCAAGCTCAAAGCTGATGTGGTGCTGCACCGCGCGGCAGCCACCTCCTTGCCTCCCATCGCACGGGGGTGCAGCCATGGGAGCTCCATGGCCTGGCTCGCTCTGCTCGCCGGGGCGATGCTTCTGTTGTGGGTTTAGCACCTTTTGAAGCCCATTAGCTGAATTCTCTGGGCGTAGCTGTGCTGTTCACTGCTTTCATTTGAAATGGCTGCGGTTCATCGCCCGCAGCCCGTCTGACACCCCGCTCAGCTCTGCAAGGAGGCAGGGGTGAGAGCTCTCCGTCGCTGTGAGATGCAGCTTTGCAGTAAACGGATGCACTTGCCCCGGAGTCAACGCTCGGGTTGGCACCAGCTGAGGATTGCTGCTTGCCTCGCTTTGTGGTGGCTGCACCAGAAACAGTGACAGCAATAATCCCTGTCGCTGCGGTAACTGAGGACCTAATCCTGCTTTTTCTGCAGTATCCATCTGGAAGGAGAGGATCAGACAAGATCATGCATTAACCACTTCCTAAACTGACCCGCTGCCAGAAGGGTAGAGGGTGAGATAGAAGCAGGGAGGAGCTATCGATCTCTTCTCCTGTGGAACACGATGTTCTCTCCTTACCCAGGACGTAGGGATCTGTGCTGAGAAATGAAAAGTAAGATTTATTTGGCTGGACATGAGTACCTTCACCGCTGACAAAGGGCATCGCATATAGAGATGGGATGGACTTGCATTACAGATGGAGCCTGGCTGTGGCAGCAGGGGTGACAGGCGGTGCAACTTGCTTGATGCTCTTGCAGGTACAGGGACTGTAGCAGAAGCTTTGGATAGAGCTCAGAGTTACTCGAGGAAGATCCAGCATCTTCCCAGTTGTGTTTCTCTCCTCCTCTGTTACCTCCAGGTAGGCTGGCACTGCATGCTCTGGCCTTCCACTCACCTCACTGCTCTGCTTCCTCTTCCAGGTGCTGTATCATGCTCAGATAGGACCCCGCCAGTGTGAGAACCATCCCACGACAACCGCAGCAAGGGGCTGAGCTCGGGTGGTTCCTCTGCCTTCCGCAGCAGCCGGAGCAGCAGCAGAGGGGAGCTGGGATAGCCCCGTGCACCGCACCCACTCACAGGGATGGATGCCAAAGGCAACGTCCGAAGCGGGAACAAACCCGACGCCAAGGCCCCCAGCACCGGGAAGCCGGAAAAGCCCAACCCTGCTCCTGCCGCCACCGCAGACAAGAAGGATGCCCCCAAAGAGCAGCCTGCTCCTGCCACCAAGAAGGCGGCGGGCGACGCGGCCGTCGCCAACAACCACAGCGGCCTGAAACCCAGCCCCGCGGCCACCGAGACGCAAGAGCCCACGGGCCCGTCCCCTGACTCTGAGCCCAAGGGAAACAGCTCCGAGGAGCCGGCGGGCAGCATCTTCGACACCGTGAAGCCCTTGCTCATCGTCGGCGGGGTGGCGGTGGCCGCGCTGGCGGTGGTCGTGGGAGTGGCGTTCCTAGCCCGGAAAAAATGATGGAGCCGGGGTGGGGAGGAGGAACCCGGCCCCGTTGTACAGCTCCTTTTGAGACCAATGCATGCCCAGAAAGTCTACACATATCTCTCTATATACATATCTATATAGCGAGCTAGATAGGTCAACAGCCGCCACCAACTGCAACGCCGGGTCTTGTTGAAGACACCTGTGCGGTTTGACCCGCTGCGGGGTAACTCCATGCACTCAGTGTGTTCTTTCATGTACTATATCTTGGCTTCCACCACTGTGTATAGATTACAGCTTCTCCTGATGGGTGTAAATGACGGTGTCCCCTCCCCTCCCCTGCTGTCCTCCCTGGGAGACACCCTCACCTCTCCTGCAGTCCCCTGTTTTCGAGTCCAAAGTGTTCTACGTCCCATTCAGAGTCCCTGCTTTGTCTTTTGGTTCCTGTTTGGATTGGTTTGAAGTTGGGTCGTGGTGAACATGGTGTAAGGGGGAGATGGAGCCTTGTGCTAAGACCCGCTTTGCCTGTCGCTGCGTGTTGGGCTGGTGTTCGTCCACCAACCCCAGGGCAGGGGAAGCACTGGGCAATGGCAGGCTCTGTGACCAAACAGCAGCTCTAACAGGTGTCTCGTGTATCTGCTGCTCATCAGCCCACCTTGGCAAAGCCAACTGGAAAGTGCCCCATAGGAAACAGGCTGAGACTGCAGCGTGGTAGAGCTGAGGATGCAACGGGGGATGTCACGGCAAGCTACTTCCCTGCAGTGGGGAGTGAGCAGAGGGGCTGTTCAGTGCACATAGAGATACCTGGTGATGCCCCGTGCTGACCTCGGGCAGGCAGGAGCTGCCATCTGCTTGGTTCCTTGCACGCTGGCAGGCAGCCTTTGGGATGCCAGGGCTCCAGCAGGGTCATACGGCAGTGTTTGGGAACAGAGACTTTGTTTTGGATCTAGTATTTCCTAGGTTAGGCTGGCCTTTGCAGGATGCTGCGGCCTCAGCCCCAACTCCCTCGAGGTCAGCTGCACGCTTCCTGCTCCTTTCTTTGGGCTTGGGATCAGGCTTTTCACCTGATTATTTCCCCTGCTGAGAGCTTCGGTCTCTTGGTACATGAGAAGGGAGAAAAGGGAGCCAGGAGCTGGTTTTAGGGGCAGAGAGGACCTGGGACCCCATGAGAATAACACTGATCTGCTTTAAACCCTATCCAAGGGCTCTAGATGCCCGTCTGCCCTGGGGGGATTTCTTCCCTCCCTCCTCTGACACTAGCAGGGATTTGGGACTGCTCCACACTTTGGGAATGGAGACAAATCCCCATCCCTCGGGAGCAGCCTGGTTTCACTGGTGAGTACCTTGGCTCTAAAGCCAGACCTTGTAAGGGGGAGAAGGAAGGCAGGCAATGAGAGAGGGTGTTCAGTGCATTGGCTGATGCCATTACCACCAGGAGGTGAACAGACCTTGGTCTGAAAGCTTCCATTAGACTATTCTTGGCTGCTGTGCTGCTGCATAATAGAGTCTCCTGGTTTGAAAGTAGGCCAGAGCTTAGGAGAGGTCAGAAGTGTGGGGTCTCCAGCGCTGAGCAGCAGTTGGAGCCGACGGGCAGGGGTTGGAGTGATGGTTGGCAAGAGGTTGTGATAGAGCGGAGTGGGTTCAGTGGAACCCGAGCTGTACGTCTTTCACTGAGCCTGGAGGTGTGAATTCAGTGGATGCAGGGCCAGAGGAAGGTAACTGCTGCTGGCATAGCCCCGACGTGGCAATTCTTCTCTTGGCTCATGCCTGTCTTATTTACCTCCAGGAAGCTGAATGCACGTGGCTTCCCCAACCGCAGGTATCTGAATGCAGCCTGGCCACTCCTGTGGTGAGCTTTGCCATCCTCTTTTCCCTAAAACTCCTAAAATATCCCCTAAGGTCACTGTGGGACGATCGGATGCTGCCTTCTGCTGAACCACAGGCTGTGTGCTGCTGAAGTTTAACGCCTTCCTCTACCAGAACAGAGATGAGGGGTGGGCATGGTGGGTTTGGAAGCAGTGCTACAGCCCCCTGGTAGCTTACAGCACTCTGTGCCCGTGTTGGGTGGGTTTGGAACCAGTGCTATAGCCCCCTGGTAGCTTACAGCACTCTGTGCCCCTGTTGTGGATGTGTCTCCCGGTAGCCCTGCATCACTTACAGCCTGGGGGGTCTCTGTGGGTTGCAGCAGAAGGCTCCACCGTGGGTGCTTCTGTAAGGCCACTTTTCCCTTGCGGACTGATTTCCCCTCCTTCTGTTTTGCAGATGTTCAGAGGTTGGTTGGGGACAGAGAGGGGAGGGCAAGCAATGGCCAAGGAACAGGAAGGTGTCTGGAAAGCAGAGGTGCGAGGACACAGCTCAGGGGCAGCCCCAGCACAGCTCCCTTGCAGTGACTGCAGCAGGGCTTTGCAAGAGGACCCTGCTGGTGCCCTGCCCACCCTCTTGCCACGCTGGGGAGAGGAGACCCCATTGCATCCCAGCTCCTCCTGTTCCCCCTTGCACCCAGATCCGTGCGTTCTGATTCCCCCATGAGAGAAATCTGGGTGCACAAAGCAGAGGCAAACTGCAGCGCAGTCCTGCCAGGCACCTGAGCTCCATGCCTGTATGCTGGGAATAGAGCACCGGATCCAAACTGCCGGGGTTTGGAGGTGGGGTGGCTGTCCCTGGGCTCCTCTTGCCTCCGATCTCTGCCGCACAAAGCTCTTGGCAATAGGAAATCCTTGCTTATGCTGCTCGTGAGGAAGGGAAATTGGTCACTGATGCTTCGATTCACGTTCTGCCAAAGGAGGGTGGTGATTTCAGACAGTGGCTTCTGCTTTCAAGGGGAGGCCTGACTCCAAGGGATGCTTCTGCCTGTCCCGTCTGGTCCCTCCCTCTCAGGCCCAGCATATGGTTATTTCTTTAGCAGTGTGTGACACTATTACAGACAGAACATCTATCTATCCTGCCATGACCAGCATAGATAGATGAAGGGGAGGAAAAGGAGACACCTATTTTACTTTCTAAAGTCCCCTCTTATGCTTAACTTCAAGGGATCTTTATTTCCTTGACTTAACCTTTGGCAACAGAAGAGGGGAAGCCCAGTTCTCAGCCACCATGGGCCTTAAACCATTTCTGTCCACCTCCAGCTTCCCCCTGCCCTTTTCTGCCCTCAGATGCCAGGGATTTCATCCAGAAACACGCCGCAGAGATGGTGATGGGGCTTGCAGCTCGCCTCTGGGGGATGTAAGCACATGGGAGCCCTCCCTAGGCACTGAGCAGGGTATGTCCTGTTCATAAGGGGGTTTCCACCTACCGTGATGGCTTAGCAGTGCTGTCTGCTGTCCGGATTTGGTAGCTGGGACTCACCTCTTTGGCAGTTTGGTTTGGAACATAGCTGTGCTTGTGTGTGCGCACATCACCCTGCCTTGAAGCATATTCTGTGTCTCTGTGTCTGCATACATACGTGTGTGTATTACTGCAGTCTGGGAGGGGGGGGAACAGCCAACCTGGAGATGCCCCTTCATTTGTTGCCCTGCATTCCCACCAAGTGTCGGTGCTGTCTTTTGCTGTGCCATTCACATCATTCCGTGTAGCCCCCGGATTCCTTTCCACCCCTGGTTTCTTCTCAGTGCCCAGAACGTATGGCTAGTGAACTGCTGAATGTATGATGTGCCCGTCGTGCTAGAAGCTCAAAGATCCTGTCCCCCCTTCCCTGGATAGTCGTGTGGGCTCCTTGCTTTAAAACAAGGCACTTGTAGACTATACCGGCCTGTGTTGTAGTGCTTTCTGAAGTGTGGGTCTAGTGTCGGTCTGAGTCGGGTAGCTGGAGTGTAGATGCCATACAAGCCCCTAAGCAATGCACATCAGCCCTGCCTTGCAAACGACAGCCTCTTAGCAAACACCTCCTGTTCTGCCTTAATGTGCCAGGCTGTGCAGTGGTTTCACTCCGAGATAGAACACAACCAGCGAGAAGGAGGCTGAGAAGAGCAAACTCGCCCCTCTCAGAGCTGGAGCTGAAGCCAAGCCCGTGGAAGCAGAGGCTTCGATGCCTGAACTCGCTGTGCTAAATAAATAGTTGTCTTTTCTCGCACTGAGCACACGCTGTCGTTTGCTTGCTGTTCTTTGTGTGGTGTTTGTGACACGAGGTCCTCCTTAGTGCTGCCTCCGTGGGGTTAACTCGAACCAGATGCTGTGCTTGGGGTTTGAAGAGATCTAGATTGCTAGTTTACTCTTTTGCTTAAGTCTATCAATTAGGAATCTGAAGACATTGTAGCTTATCCCTACCACTAGAGATTCAATCACTGCACCTGACCTCAATGTGTTTTTAAGGAGCTATAAGTTTGAGTCAACGATAAAGATGTCATTATGTTCTCTTAGTAGAAGGTTTTCTGATGCTTCTGGCTTGAAGATGAAATGGATCACACTTCTGCTTCCTCTTTTCTCCTATGGATAAGTCCTGTTATTCCTGTTAAGTCCTGCAGTAGGATGCAAGCAAATCTGGAAGCTGAAGGACAGTGCAGCAGTGTTTTCAGCAGGGTAAGAATGCATTCCTGCAGGTGCTGTTCACCTCATGCTCAAAGCACTGGGCAGGCGCTTACCCTGAAGCCCTTCTTGGTTCCCTTAGGTTGAGTGGGAAGTTAAAAGTGGGTTTATGTCCCTGCTGAATCAGAGTTGAGGGGCTGATCCATGGGCTACTGAAAACAAGTTTTCCATTGGCTTCACCATGCTCTGCTCAGGCCTTTGAAGGCACCAGGGATACAACTGCAGGTCACTGTTAAATGCAAACTCATCCCAATGGCATGGTTTCTTTTTGAGCTGACAGAAACATTCCTTAGCCCTGCTTAGTGTAAGGAATGTGCAACTAAAGCCCCAAGAGCTGGTGAGAGATGATTCCTGCCTTAAAACCTTCCCTTCCTTTCCGGGAACCGCCACTGGGGTTTTAGAAGGCAGCATCCTTCTCTTCTGGGAATCGGCTGGAAGGAACAGTCGTGAAGATGTGAGAGGAAAATCATCCTTGGGGAAACAAAGCAAAGAAGGAAGGCAATGACAGAAGGTACCTGGGAGGTGGAGTTCTTGGGATTTCAATCCGAGGCAGCGCTTCTGAGAGGGTACAAGAAACGGTACAGAGATGTGCAGAGAAGAGAGAACACTTCCATCAGCTTCACAGCTGTGGTAAGGACACATTAGCTTCTATACCCTATCCACTTCTAGTTATTTCTCTTGGACATAAGGAAAAATGACCAATGATTCAGTGCAAGTTCACCTTCACTGCCTTTTCCAAAGGAATTTTTGCTGCCCCTGTTCCGTGTTCAGGGGTTTGCGAAGCACGAAAAAGACCTGAAGTTTTCTACAGCCAGTTCGGTATGATTAAAGGAAGTTGCAAGTTTATTGTTCAGGCATTTTGAAGGGCTTTGTTCTCCTCTTTCACATCCTA